CCCGTCCCTCTCAGAGACCAGAGCACGTGCACCCCGTCCCCCTGTGACCCTGGGCGGAGGGCCGAGCCCCAGCATTTGCCAGGCTGCGCAGGTGCAGACCGCCAGCCACACCGCAGGGAGGCTGTTCGGCTCAAATGCCTTTTCCACAGGGAGGTCCCGTCGGGCTGATGGGAATGAAGGCGATGACGTTGTTGACCGGTGGGGCTCCCCTGGGCTTGGACCCGGGACGGAAGGTGGTTGAGATGGCAGAACCTCTCTGGACATAAAAAACACAGCTAACCGAATGACAAAGGGATACGTGATGCCTGAGCCTGTCCTCCCAGAGGTGCCGAGAAGGTGCCTGGGACAGGACGTCCGACGGGGCCAATGCGAAGAGGACCAAGGGCCAAGCCCCAAGGAGAAAGGTGTGGGACCAAAGCAGGAAGGACGTTTTACGGGACGACGCTGCCCGCAGCAGTGACGGCCAACACTGAGCACGCGGCACTGCCTGTGGCCGCCGTGTCAAGCGCTTTGTGAGGTGACTTCGTTTGGGTTCCGGGTCGCGGATGCCAGGGCAAGCAGTTTCCTTGGGAAGTGGAAGGAAACCCGTCCGGTCCCAGAGACATGGGCTGGGGGCGGAAAGGTATGCTGAGAAGCCAGCCACCGACAGGCACCTGCGGCTTTAATCCCAAAAGTTATCCACGGAAACAAGAACGACACAGACCGACCCCACGCGAGCGGCGAGGGAACCGGCGCGTCTACGCAGCGCCTCCATCGGCCCGGGGAGCAGGTGGCTGCAGGGCGGTCACTCCCCACCCCTCCGGCCTGGGCTCCGAAACGCCTTCAGGTGAAGGGAGGGAGGGCGGTCGCGGACACTCACAGGCAGCCGGAGCCCGCGGGAGGGTGTCTGCCCACACACGTGGACACGTTAATGCTCTCAGCAGTCCTACGAGGCCCACACGAATCCCGTTGTCATCCTCATTTTCAGACGGGGAAATGAGACGGAGAAGCAGCTTGCCGACGTGCAGAGCCAGAATGCTAAGCCAGGCATCCTGGCTCCAGAGTCCGTGCTAACATGGGCAGTGATGAGCTGCTCGTCAGTGGAGGCATTCAGGTGGAGGCCTGACTGTCGGGACGTCGAACAGGGACTCCTACTGGGGACAGGGACTAAGAGACTGCCGAGTCCCTTTTCAGAGGAAATTCACGATCTTAGGAAGAGGCAGAGGAAGTCACTGAAATACCGGTGGGGCAGCCACCCTGAGAGACGGAGCCAGACATGGCGGGGGAGGGGTGCTGAACGAACCCCTGCTGAGTGGGTGTCATGGTGCATCCCTGGCCCCGCACCCTGAGCAGTTTTCTCTCCCGGAGGGGCTGCTCATCGACCTTGCTAGCGGTGCAATGAGCCAGCCCTGAGGTCCCCCCCACACTCCCGCTCAGCCTTGGGGATGCTCCGGGCTACCCAGGTCCCACAGGACAAGGCCGGCTCCGTCCGCACTCGGGCTCAGGGTCCCCGTCTGCAAAATGATGGAGGCGATGAGACCCATGTCTAAGATTCCTCCGCTGACCAAGTTCTGTGACTGTGGGTCTGGGCAAGAAGGCCGGGCCTGGGCTTCTAGAACAGCCCAGTCATTCCTGGTGGAGCTGAGAGCAGTACAGTCTGAATGACTAAAAGCCTGGATTATGGCACAATTCCAACATATGGAATGCTTTCTTCATCCAAGTGCACGACATACAGCAAATGAATTGTTAATCAAGTATCTAGAAGAGGTTGTTATCGGTCCCGCTTTAATAAAGAACTAAGTTTCAACCACCAGTATCTTCTTCCATGCGTGAAAACTGAATTGCTACAGTTCTTTCAAAGGGAGTTTTCCACACACACCCACAAATTGCCAACCTTGGCACATCAAGTTCTAGCGTAACTGTGAATTGCAGAGGGTGGGATGTGGCCAGATGGAATTCCCTGGTGCCCCGCCCGGGACCTGGGCTCACACCCTTCCTTTCAGCGAACCTTGACCTGGGCATCCCTCCTTATCTGTGAAGTCACAGTCTTTGAGGCACCTGGACTTAGGCATAAAGATTAGTGAGTTCCTGTAAGTCAAAGTACAGAGAGCTACTGTTTATTCTCGGAGGACACAAGACAGTGACTCAGTCTAAACCATAAACCCAGAACAACAACAATGATGTGGCCATGCAGTGACAGGCTGCAGCCGTCACACCTTGGAGCCACGGGTCACCTGACCACAGATTAAGCCCAATCGACAAGCATTTATTGGATATCTGTTAGAAGTGCTGACAAGGCACTAAGCGAAGGACCGTCAAGAACTTTGACCAAAGGCTGTGCCACCTGCATGGGGTTGATGATGGAGGGCTGCTGTTCCCGTGCAAGTGACGAGGGAAGGAATCTCAAGAAATCCAGGGACTTGCTTAAGGGCACAATGTCTATGGCAAAGTGGAGACTAGACCTCAGGCTTCCTGATTTTCAAGGTCACATCAACTCCCCTCCCCCACCACATGCACAACCACCAAGAGACAATGTGGTTTACTAACGTAAAATTTTATTAATAATTTCTTATTTAAAATGTACGACGTGACATTGTGACCTATGTCCACGCCCATGATATCAGCATCACGATGAAGATAATAAACATTTCCATCATTTCAAAAGCTTTCCCTGGGGAACTGCTGATCCGTTTTCTGTCACTGTAGATTAATTTTCATTTTCTATAATTTTATGTAATTAAAACAATACAGTATGTATTTTTTTGTCTGCTTCGTTTCGTTGAGCGGGATTCCCTTGAGGCTCACGCATGCGTCGGCAGTCCACAGCTTTGTACTGCTGCGTGGCAGTCTACTGCGTGGGCAGTCCACGCTCGTTCATTTATTCATCTAGAGATGCTCTTTCACACTGTGCCCATGACTAAAAAACTTGCTGTGAACATCTGCATGCGAGCCTGTCTGCAGACATGTGCTTTAATTTCGTTGGGTGAAATTTAATTTCTAAGAGCCGGATCATAATGCGGGCTCATACGGCAGAAGTTTAACGTTTTAAGGGACCGGCGAGCTAGTTTTGAAAGCGTCTGTGCCATACCACCGTCCCGCCAGAAGTGTCCAGGAGATTCGGTTTCTCCACATCCTGGTCAACGCTTGAGGTCGTCGGTCTCTTCCATTTCAGGCATGCTAACAGGTACATAGTGGTATCTCGTTGTGTTTTTAATCTGCATTTTCCTAATTATTAATAACATTAAGCACCTTTTCATGTGCTTATTTGCCATCATGCGTCTTCTTCGGTGAAGTATACATTCAAATCGTTTGCCCATTTTTGAAACTGAGTTGTTTTCCTATCGAGTCCTGAGAGTTCTTTATACGTTATACGTTTCTACATCTGGACGCGTGTCCCTCTCAGACATGTGATCTGCAGACTCACGGGCCACATCTGGCGCGTGTCAGTGGCACAGACGTGCCAGTCTGTGCCTTGCCTTTTCATTCTCGTAAGTGTCTTAGAAGAGCACAAGTTCTTAGTTTTGTCAAAGTCCAATTTATCGATATTTTCTTTTACAGACTGTGCTATCACTTATATTCTATTCTAGAACTTTCATAGTTTAAGGTTTGAATTTACGCCTATGACCTATTTTAAGTTAATGTTTGTGTACGATGTAAAGTATGGATAAAAGTTCATTTTTTTCACACATGGATATAACTACCCCGGCGCATTTGTTGGAAACACTATCCTGTCACCATTCGGTCAGTTGCCCCTGTATGTGCGGATTTATTTCTAGATTCGTCATGTCCCATTGATTTATCCGCTATGCCATACTGTTTTGAGAACTGTAGCTTTATAGTCAGTCTTGACATTAGGTAATATTAATCCCGACTTCATCTTTCTCACAGTTGTTTTGGTTATTCTGGGTTCTTTGCATTTCCACATAAATTGTAGAATTGGCTTGTCAATTTCTACCCCCATCTCACCCGCCACAAAAAAAATCTTGCTGGAATTTTGATAGTAATTGTGTTGAATCTACAGAGAAATTTGGGAGGGGGAGCATTAAGCCAAACTTGCAGTCCTAGAGTACGTCCCACTTGGTCAGGATGTATTATTATCCTTATAACACAGTATTATATTCCATCTGCTAAAATTTGGTTAATAATTTTCGTATCTATGTTCATGAGGGTATCGATCTGTAGTTTTCTCATAATGTCTTTCGTTTGGTTTTGGAATCAGAGTAATGATGGCTTTACAGAATGAGCTGAGAAATATTCCTTCTTTAACAATCTGGAAGAATCTGTGTCAGATTGGTATTTTTTTCTTCCTTAAATGTTTGGTAGAATTCACCATAAGTCCATTTGGGCCTGAAGTTTTCTTTGTGGGAAGGTTTTTAACTACAAATTCAATCTCTTTCGTTGATGTAGGACTATACGGGCTGTCTATTTCTTCCTGAGTGAGCTTTGGTATTCTGTATCTTTCAGTATATAGTGCTCTCCTGTTTCCAAGGCAGATATCAACTGACAAACCCAGGGAGGAGGTTTCTCTAAACGGTCCCAAGAACACTCGGACCTCTCTTGCCCAACTGCCCCAGCAGGCTGTGATGCTGACCAGGATACGTGCACCCCGCGGCCACAGAGTGAGAGGAAGCCTCCCTGTTCCTCCCCCCAGAAGGAGACAGAAACCAGCGCTTCAGCCTCCAGTTCCTTTGACTGTCACACCAGCACACGAATCAGGATTTGGGCCTCCATGTCCATCGCTGAACTCGAGAAGTTTTACTTTACGACAGCGCGTGCCCATGCCATCCGAGCGTGGCGGCTTGTGTGGTCGGAGAATCGAGTGCTGCCCATCGGTGCCTGGGGACCTGCACCCCCTCCCGTGTCACTTCTCCTGGAGGTCAGCGCCGGAAGCTAACGTGTCTCAACCGAATCAGGGTCTAAAGTTTTCCAAGTCTCCCAATTGCCACCGGGGCCACAAGTCTCAGAGCTGTGACCCTCCCTTGAGGCCTGGGGCAGCAAGTCTCTTTCTCAGAGAAGGAAGCCTAGATGTAGCACCTGGGGACATGCAGAGCCATGAAGAGGAAGTTTCCGGGGCAGGCAGGGAGGGCGCGAGGCCCGACATCTGCGATTGCTTCTTTATTCGCTGGAACTTCCACTCTGTTTCTCTTGGCAAAAACTCAGTTTATCTCCACAAACGTTCGGCGCTTGGTCTCAGGAATCACCACGCAGACGTAGACGGCGGTGAGGAGGCAGATGCCGGCAAAGATGACGAAACTGTAGGCCCCAGTGGCCTCCTAGGCCAGGAGACAAGAAACCAGGAGGAAACAGAGGAAGAAGAAATGACGAGGACAGTTCCGGGGGACGCCTCTGTGAGTCACAAATGAGTCTCCTGTAGCCAATCTTACTTTTATTCCCAGAGGAGTGAGACGGCTAGAAAACCGTGCCCTGCCCTCTTGTCAAAAAGGACTCAGAGCCTTAGAGACTGCTTAGCAACAGCGACCCTGGCGGGGGGAAGTGGAGGTGACGTGCACAGCTCCGGACGTAGGCAGGGCGTGGTGGCGAGGAGACCTGCTCCCTCGCCCTGGCTCCGGCTGCCTTTCTATCGCCTTCGAACTTGGCAGACCAGGTCCTTTCTCGTCTGAGGGAGTCGGGGACTGGCATAGTCAGGGTTTGGCTGCCGTGGTGCCACGTGTGCTCATGGACCTCGAACGTGCCTGCGAGTCGCCCCTTCACAGAACGAGCAGGTGTTCCTAGCAGACGGGTGGGAAGCACCGCTTATTTCCCGGAGCCCCTTCCGCCTCGGGGGTGGGCGGAGTGGAGCAGGGAGTGAGGCAAGGGGCTGCCCGCGCCTGCTTCCCACCGGACAGCCCCGCTCGCCTGGACGGAAGGGAACATGAAGCCCACGATGACGTTGGTGAGCCAGTGCACAGCTCCGGCCACCATGAAGGCAGCGGCCGGGCGGATTGTGGGAAGGTCTCGGTCCTCACCACGGCGGGGATGGGACCTCGAGGGCAGAGAGCACAGGGCGGATGGAGCGGAGGGCGCTCAGAGGCCGCCGGCCCCAAGCCCAGACCCTCCGAGCGCAGCCTGACTGCGGCACTGGTTGTCCCTTAGTAAATGTTTGGTCGATGAATGAGTGTGAACTGGAATGGCCTCCCCCCCAAAAAGGTAAACTGAGCCCAGCATTCAAGTGTGGGTGGGGTTTGCACAGGAAGAGAGGGAAGGGAAGGAGCACATCAGAGCAGCGTGGGTCAGGGACATTCACTGGACGCCCGCAAAGCTCCTCCGGGCTGGCGGGGCGCGCGGGTACTCACCGGGCCCGGCAGAGTGTCCCGCGATGTAGGTGAAGACGCAGATGACGCCGACGTGGGACAGCTCAGGCACCGTGCTCTGTGGGGCGAGGAAGGGCTGTCTGTGCCCCACGGGGCCTGGCTGGGGACCTCTGAGCTCGCGGCCCTGAGCCCCACGTGCGATGAGTCCACCTGCGCTGCCCCCTTCCCGCCACAGGTGGGAGCCACACCTGGGTCTCTGAGCACCTACGTGCGCCTCGAGGGCTCTGTGGGAGGACGACGAGATCGAGGCCTGACGTCCAGCATGCGAGGCTGCAGGGGGCGTCCACGGCCCTGCCTAGGTGAGGGGAATGTCCCAGGAGGAATGCGTGCTATTTATTTGTTCTCCGCCCATCACAAATATCAGCCCCCTTAATCCTCACGACGCCCTCCGAGGGAGGGTATTGTTACCTTGATCCTACAAAGGTGGACTCAGAGCACAGAGAGCCTGAGCGCAGACCGTGAGGGCGCGTGGTCCCTCGGGGGTCAAGCAAGAACCCCAGTCAGCCAATCAGCTGGGATGGAGCTGGGGCCTGGACTCTACACCAGCTGAGAGAAGCTTCTAGAGGCCACAGGACCAGGAGAGCTGGCGGAGCACCCCTCCTCCCCGCAGCCAGGGCAATGGCCGGCACAAAGCCAGGGGAAGAGACTTCGGCCAGACTAACTACGGGGTAACTATTTCAGGCGACGGCGTCGAAGCGGTGCTGGCGGCAGAGCCAGGTGGGCCGGGGTCGCCTCCCATGAAGTCGGCTCCAGGTCGCCAGGCGGACGAGCGCGCGGAGGACAGACAGCCTCTGCGACGCCGCTGGCGGGGCGAAGAGCCGGAGGAAGCTTGTGAGCAGAGAAGGGACAAGCTCTGACTCACATTTCAGCAGAGACGACTGTGTGTGGCAGGGCGGAAGCAGGGTGGGGTCTAGTTCAATACCTGAAGCGAAGGCGGCGATGGCGGAGGCTGGCGGGGCGTCCTGGACGCGCGGCCATGCGGGCAGCTGCTGGGACGTGCGCAGGCGGAGCCAACGGGACTGGCCGTTGGGCGAGTGGAGGCGGGAAGACAAATGGACATCCCCAAGGTTCCCCGAATGTGACTCACAATCGCCTCTGCGGATCGCGTCTAGTTTCCTAAAGTCCCTGAAGTGTTCTACTAAAAACCTGGACTAGTTTAAACAAAATAAGGTCTTTAAAAAGGAAACTTTAATTAAACCGAGGCAGGGACGTAACTATTTCTTCGCCAGCCTCATCCCTCTCTCCACCTTGCCCGTCCCTCCCCAACCCCCGGTCCGCCCCCTGTTCACAGGCAGCTGGCGCTCGGCCGGTGATAGAGGAGGAAGCCATCGCGGAGGGGACAGCGTGGGAAGGGGGACAGAGAAGGAAGATGCCGTCTCTGAATCACAGAATAACCTGTTCGCCTTTTCCTGTCCCCGTGCGTGAGCGCGTTTTAACTGGAGAGGGTTTCTGTCAGCTGGAGCAGTTCATACAAAAGCAACAATGGCAAAGCAGCAGCCGAAGATGTGCAAAGTGCTGGTCGCTTCCGGAGTATTTCATGTCATGGCCATCCTACGTGTTTTCAAAATTTTCGCAGAACACAAATAGTAAATACATGCCGAGAGCATCGCAAATTAAAAGGATGTATTTCTTGCACGGGAGGCCCACTCGCATTTCCATCTTACTCTTCCCGATGACTTCACGGCCTCTCTCATTACTGTTTACTCTCCCAATTCATTCTGATCGGGTCTCCAAGATGTTTTTAATATTAAGAGATCGACATATGTCTTACGCGTGGCAGGATTTCAAGGTGAGAGCTCCGCACCATTTGGCAACCTGAGGGGTTATTTTAACGACATGTTTACAAAAGAGACAGCTCCTTTGCTAGCATGTCACGTGCTCCCTCACGTCCCGTGCTAACCACCTAGTTTGCCTGTGTGCTGTGCCTACTTCAGTGAAGGTTCATCTCCGCTTCCTCCTCTCACATACAAATATATTTGGTCCATGGCCACTGGTTTATTCTTCTGTCCACGCCAGCTCGGTTCTCGTTTTCTCCTGCTTCTGACCCAGACCGACTTCTGATCTTCCTTCTCTTAAATCTACGCTAGGTCATTGCTGGTGGGGATTTTTTAGTGCAGCTGCATCTAAGCATATATTGAAATGCGTGTTTTGTTGTAAATTCGCGTTCTTCCTTTCCGTTATGGGTAGGGCCTTACACGTAGCCGTTTACGTGCACGTGTGTGTGTAGGTGCGCGCCCAGCGGGACCAGCCATTCCAAAGTACTTGGAGGAAGGAGGTGTGGAGTCAGACGTGGCTGAGAGCCACCCTGGCCCATGGGAGCTGGTTCTGTTGCAGGGACCTCCCACCCCGCCGCGGGCTCAGGGTCCCTGCCTGCCCCCCGCCCCCCAATCTCCTGACTGAACCGAGGCCAGAGCTGGAGGAGGAGCACCAGCGTCAGCGTGAGGCAGGCCGAGCCGCAGATGCTGGAGCCGACCAGCAGGAGGCGCCGTCTCCCCCAGCCACTCCACAGTGACGGCCTGAGGGAAGGGAGGCCCGTGAGGACCCTCAGCGACACTGGGGTGCCCAGAATTTGTGGGCCTGGTGCTGCCAGCCCCTCCCCTAGGCCCTGAGTGTCATTTCTCACCTCTGCTGCCTCCTACGCGGAATGTACGCTGCTTATCTTGTGAGTCTGATTTCATGCCACCAGACTAGGCCGCGGCCCTTCCTGTCTGTCATCTGCAGACCCCTGGATGTCTGCGACCTGCATCTGCCCCCGCCCCACCCCACTGTAATGACCACGTTTTCTCGTTTCTGTGTTTGATGCTTTGACACCTGGGGTTCCTGCTGCCCTCTGGAGGGATGGTCCCTACCACGGTTAGCAATTCGCCTGTGAGCTCGCCTTTGATATGACACTAACCCATCCAAAGCCCACACCTCCCCTACCCGCTCTACGGGGTTCTCACACTCAGGGCCACCATCCCCTGCCCTAATCACCCAAGGTAGGGACCAGCCAGTTAGGGGCAGCCCCTGGGCCCCAGAGCTGAAGCCGTTCCAACCAGCCAATCCTGAGCCCGCACACCCTGCCTCGCCTGGCCCTTCCCACGAAAACCACAACAAAGGCCCTCTCTCATGTCGCCCCTCGCCACCCCTCACCCCTCTGGCTGGCTCTGGCGCTTCTCTGCATGGCCCTGTGTGACGTGGCCTGCCCCTCCCTCCTCTCACAGTTTGGAACTGTGAGTGACAAACTATCTTTTCAGATGCAACCACCTACTGATATATTGGCCTCGTCACACACGAATAACAATAAAACTTACACTTTCAAGTAGCCCCCTGCCACCACCTGCTGTTGCAGTTCACACAGGGGCCGTTGGAATCTGGCCTTCCCTCGTGGGGTCCCCCTCCCCCCACATACTTCCTTTTCCACTTCTGGGAGGTGCACCGTCTCGAATGTTCCAAACTCAGGCCACACTCCTTCTGGCTAGCAATCCAGTTCCAGTTCTACTCCGCCCTACCGCCCCCGTCCACAACGTCGACAAGGTGCCACACCAAGGGCCAGCGCAGTGCCAGGCCTTCTGTGCCCCTCTGTGCACGTCACTTCCGATCCTCCCCACAACCCTGCGGATGGAGAGTAACGCTGCCATTCGGTGAGGCCCGCTGGGCAATCGCAGGTCTGCACACAGTCAGCGAGGTGAGGCCAAGTTCATCCGCTGCGCCAGATGCTGATCCTCCAGGGAGAGAGGAGGCTCCAGGTAAGATGATGGGAAAGAGGGTCCCAGTGATGACGAAGTACCCTGGAGGAGGAGGGCTCCGGGGATGGAGGACGGATCATCCCGCGGAAGGGGGGATGGGCTGAGGGGCTGGGCACCAGGAAGGGTGGAGAACTGGTCCGGGGGCCTCCCTCCCCGCCCCGCCTAGCCCCCCTTGCTTTCTCCCTTCCTCTCCCCCTCCGACCCTGCTAAGTCCTCTGAAAGTCGACTGGGGCTTAAACTGCCTCTGGGGAAGAAACAAACAAGTAATAAATAACTTACAGGTAACTCAAGTAGTAGGAGTCAAAAAAATAAATAAATAAAAAGCAAGATAACTATTGAAAAAGTTCTAGAGAAAAGGCCGTCACGGTCACCTGACCTTGTCCATGAGCATCATACCTTTTGGATTCACCTTTGTAACGCACGAGGGGTTCGGGTTTTAAATGTAAAACTATGTAACGACACGTACATCGGCACGCTGGGCATCGCCATCACTGTAAGTAGTCTGGTCAAGGCCACGCAAGTGGGAAGTATGTGCACATTCAGAAGTCCGTGTCCCCCAGCGGCCCAGGACCGGCGCCACCAGTGCCTCTCAGTGGACTCTGGGGGCTCCCGTCTGCCTCCACCTTGGAAAGGTTGTCCCAGGTCGCTCGCCGAGATGGCAGTCATAACGATGTTGACCACGCCGGTGCCCACTGTCACGTCCTGGGAGTGGGCGGCCAACACACCCGCAGCTGTGTAGATCATGTCTGCGTAGTAGTTGATCTGAAACGAAAGCCAGGGGCTGTGAGGATGGGCCCGAGGCCGAGGCTTCTGGCTTAACTCTCCTGACTCTGCAACAGTCTTGAAGCCCCAGGGGACCCTCCTGGACAGGAAGGAGGCAGCCCTGCCGGCCCGCCAGGTCATTATACCTCTTCCCCTGAGACCGCAGTCTGCATCTGTAAAACGGGAGCTGGACCAGAAGACTCCGAGGCTGTGCCCTCTGTCGCGTCGTTAGTCTATGATCTCGGGCCCTACAGGATGACACCTTGTTTCTCATTCTGTGCCAAGCCAACCCCAAGCTCAGCGTCTCTCCCGGCCCAGCGCCAACAATGTGGATGCACACAGCCTTCTGAAAGCCACACAGGCTGCTGCCCATTCGGTGGCCCGTCTACCCTTCCTAACGTCACTTGTCAAACACCCATGAGGCCCTGAAGGCCTGATCCACCTTTTCCTGACACTCTGCTTAAGCACCAACTGGATTACCCATCCAAGCGCAGATGTTTCTGGAAGCAATCCCCCACACTCCCACTCCATTTCTCTTCAGATCTGTCCACCACGTCATTGACAGATCTAGTTACAGCCAAAGAAGCACATTCACAGAAAGCGATGCCACCAACAGTCACAGCTGAGCGAGTCCAAGGCGGCTTCTGCCCCAAGCTGTGTCCACAAACCGCCCTCCTCGGGGACCCGACATTGGTTCCGGGAGGTCTCCGGCTCCTCTCAGCCAGCTGGTCCCTTGCAGAGAGAGGAAAGGACTACTGGCAGGAGGCATTTTCTCTTGGGGACTGGGAAGTAAGGAAAAGGTTCTGTAGCGAGAGAACAGTGAGGCCGGCAGGAGGGGGAGGCGGAGTCGGGGTGGGAAAAGCTCCCCGCTTCCCTCGCGACACCGGGCCCCGCTTCCAGGCTGCATTCCTGGCCTTTTGGTGGTCGAGCTGCTTCTGCAATTTAGTCTGGTTTTGTTTCTTCCCAGGATGCCTTGTTCCTTGCAAACAGCAACGTGCTGCGTAACGGGGTGTGACCGCCCGGCGCCCCGTGGCTCGCCCCAGCTTCCGAGGCGAGAGCGGCATCTGCTAGCTTTTCACTCTCATCCCCCTGGATGCAGAACTCAGCTTTGCACACTTTGAATTTTTCAATAACACACACACTACAGCACGACTGTGAATACCATCCACGGTAATTCGGTCGACGTTTGTTGGGTCTAATGAAATCCAGTGGCTTCCAAGAGGACCGGGAGTTCTGGGCGAGAACCTTGCCCGGACACCTCAGCAGCCCCGTCGCAGGGCTAATCCCTCCTCCCCGGCTGGGCCCGCGGGTGTCCCCTCATGGCCCACCTGCCGCATTGATCCCAGAAAGCTGCTGGCCGGCCATGAGCACATCAATAGAGATGAGCTGCCACCGCAGAGGCCGGAAGGTGAAGAGGTTGAGCATTGACAGGCGGCCCTCGGCCCTCTCCGCCTGGTCCGCCACGTGCATTTTTTCCATCTTGTCCTCCACATCGGCCTGGCACCTCGGTTTTCTCAGGGCTGCCGGGAGCAGAGTGGCCCCATTTCATTGTTGATGGCACTGACCCATGGCTTCGGGAAGCAGGAGACAGAGCCCCACTAGCTCAGCCCACCTCTGGCCACAGGCTGTTTTCCCAGTGCCGAATGCTCATTGACTCCAGCTAGGTCCCCAACACTGTGATGGTGTCCCTAACCACAACCATACCCCAACCCGCTCAGTCTCACCTCTCAACACCCATCAGCCATGATGCTGACTCTGACCTGGTCCGTGTTCTCCACCGGACCACACCTCAGAGCTGCCCTGGACGCCTCAGCATCAACCTCACCTCTATGCATCTTGGGGCACCTCTCCCCATCCTGTTGCCCACCCGTTCTCTGCCTTGGGCACTACGGGGGACATCGTGGCAGGCATGGAAGACAGCAGGGAAGTGAGAGGGTCCTGGCAGAGTAACCTGTGTCCCCAGTACCTGTCGAGCTGTGTCTTTGTCTCTTCTCTGAATCAGGGTGTAGCGCGGGCTCTCAGGGAAGAAGGACAGATTGAGGAGCTGCAGCAGCGCGGGGACCCCCTGAGTGCCAGGAGCACGGGCCAGCCTGGAGGCAACCGACACTAGGCACGTGACACTGCCCGTCAGGGACCCCGGGAGTCCTGGGTACCCTCCAGCTGACCTTCCCATGTCCTGACTCTCTCCTCTTACGAAGTCACTTGCCCATGGCACTGCAGCCCATGGTGAGAGCCAAGAACAGCAGGGACCTTGTCCTCACCAAGATGTGGCTGCCCAGGACCCGCCCACACAGGGGTTCCACATTTAAAAATGGAGAAAATAACTATAATTTTAAAATATGTTATTACTTTTGCAAGAACACTGCTCCTCCCAGAACAGTATATAATTTAAAAGTGACCCCCAAAAAAGAAAAAGAAAAAAAGAAAAGTGTGAGCCCCAGAAAAAATGAATTTTTATGGCTGGAAATGACCTAATCTCTACCTCTCTAGAGCCTGGGTCGAGGCTGAAGATGGATCCAGCACTGAGGCTGTGTGAGCTCCTTCTGGAAGGTCTGGGTTAAGCAGGTGGTACTGAGGTTCAGAACCCCTGCCGGCTATGATGGGAACTGGATGAGTTATTTAACATCTCTAAGCCTCAGTTTTCTCATCAATAAAATAAAGATGATAAGATGCTTGGGATGATGATAATAAAGAGCCACACAGAGTGCTGAGGGCTGAAAGAGACAGCACACGCCAGGCTTCAGTGCCGGGTGC